TCTTTAAATGGCAGAAGTAGCAATGAGTTGTAACATTCAGAGAGAAGTACCTAGAAAATATTTTTCTTCTGCTAACAAATGAAGAAGGATTTAGTAGTAAGCATTTACTCTGTAGTACACAGTGCTAAGTACCGGGGATTGTAAACGCACAAATAAAACAGCCCCAGCTCTGAAAGGGCTTGTATTCTAGGACAGAAGTGGGGAACCTGTGGCCTCCAGACCACACGTGGCCCTCTAGGTCCTCAAGTGCGGCCCTTTGACTGAATCCAAACTCAGAATAAATCCCCTTAATAAAAGGATTTGTTCTGTAAAATTTAGACTCAAGTCAACAGGCCGCATCCAAAGGCCTAGGCAGCCACAGATTTCCCACCCCTATTCTAGAGGAAGATCTACATGGGAATGGTGGTGAGGGAAAGGAAGGGGATGGAGGGTATCATAGGGATAGGGATCGGATCTATGCCTTTGCCAGGAACAATAGTGGTTTAGTAGTATTGATTTGGGGACAGGTAAGTTGCACAGTCAGGAAGTCTCAGTTTCCTGAATTCAAATGTGGCTTTAGACACTAGCTGTGTGATGCTGGGTAAGTCACTTAACCCTACTTGCCTCAGTTTCCTCATCTTTAAAATGAGCTGGAGAAGAAAATGGCAAACCACTCCAGTGTCTTTGCCCAGAAAACCCCAAATGGGGTCACAGAGAGTCAAGACATGACTGAAACAATTCAACAAGAACAAAAATACTGATTCGATTACTGTGTCCAAAGCACAAAGTCAGAAGGGCTGGGGGAGAGGAGAGAAGAGACGAACAAGGGTGAACGGTAAGACTGCCAGAGCCGACTGGAGCGTGATCTGGGGCCAACCACGGACAGTGGGCTTCTTGAGTTTGCCACTTGCGTTAGCAGCAAGCAATCAAGACAACTGGGCACCAGGATTAACTAGCCCCCCCACCCCCACCCCCAACTGAAAACATGCCTATCCTCAGAGTTAGTGCAGTGTATCCCCAGAAAGGGTCTGTAAGAGCTGAAAGCAAGATCATAGTGGAGGGTGTGCAAGTTTACAATGTTCATCAATTTGTTTCCGATCTCTGAAAATTTCCATTCCTAACAATCTAGCTTGAGCTTAAGCCACGGGCTAATCTTGCCTTCATGACTCCACCCTAGAAGCAATTTAGTACAGTGGAAAGAATATTGGTCTGGTAAAAGGTCTCCAGTGGGGTGCCCCAGGGGTCTCCTTACTACTGGATGGAAAGGTTGGGATAGATTACTGACAGAATAGATTACTGGATCAAATTAATAAATTCTTTTGTTTTTACTAGACCGGTGGGGGAGGAACTTTCTCTACCCATACACATCAGTACTTGCTCTACAATTTAGTCTCCCAGAACTGTCTGGGTCACTGAGGAGGTGACTTGCCCAGGGTCACATGGCCAACATATGTCAGGAAAGACTTCATCAACTCAGGGCTTTCTGACTCCAAGCTTAACCTCCTGCCTTTCGAGATGAAGTATCATAGGGATAAATGTCAAGTCAACCTAGATATTTAAAAAGATCAATAACACAAGCACAAGATGGCAAAAACTGTATCTAGACATCGATTCATCTGAAAAAGGTCCATGGGTTTTAGTGCAATGCAAGCTCAAATTCCCCTACGTTAGGTGGTACGGTGGATAAAGTGCTAGGCCTGGAGTCCAGGAGACCTACGTTCAAATCCAGCCTCAGACACTAGCTAGCTGTTTAACCACTTAACCTTTGCCTCAGTTTCCTCAGCTGTGAAATGGAGATAATAATAACATCTACCTCACAAGGTTTTTGTAAAGATCAAATATTTGTACAGTGCTTAGCACAATATAGGTATTATATAAATGCAAGCAGTTATATTATTATAACATGAACCCGTAATTCGGCCAAAAGAGACCTAATGCAATCTTAGGCAGCATTAAAGATAGGCATAATGCACAGGACTAGAGAAGCAACATTTCACTGTCCTCTGCCTTGGCCAGGCCTCATTTGGGGCATTACACTGTAGGAAGGACAGTGATGAGCTGGAAGGCAACCAGAGTAGTGAAGGACCTTGAATTCATTCATTCTATATGAGAATTGGCTAAATGAAGTGGGGATATTTTCCCAGGAGAAGTGAGAACTACAGAGTGAATAGAGATTCAGTTTTTTTCTGCTTTGGCCCCAGAGACCAGTCCTAGAAACAATGGGTAGAAATTGTAAAGAGCCAAGTTTAAACTTCCATGTTAAGGAAAACCTTCTTGCCAATTAGAACCATCCCCTGGTTTTAGGATCAGGCTGCTGGCCTGGGAGGCTCCCCTTCAACAGAGGTCTTAGCTTCTAGAATCAGGTTCAAATTGTATTTCTGTCACTGTCATATTAGATTGAACCTTACTCATCTGTAAGACAAAGGGGTTGGTCCAGAAGAACTCTAAAGCTCCTTGCAACACTGCCGTTCTGTGATGCCCTGTCTATCCAGCACGAGTCAGTGTTTCTTATCTCTGCCTTTGCCTCTGTCATGATAGTAAGTAGCTAACATCTTTTATAGATCTCTTAAGGCTAATGAAGTGCTTTACTTACGTTTTCATTTGATCTTCAAAAAAGCCCTATGAGGGGGCAGCTAGATAGAGCACCAGCTCTGAAGTCAGGAGGACCTGAGTTCAAAATCTGGCCTCAGATCAAACACTTGACACGAGCTGTGTGACCCTGGGCAAGTCACTTAACCCCAACTGCCTAAAAATTAAAACAAAAAAGCCCTATGAGATAGTAACCCCAGGTTCTATTACCCCTCTGTTATAGAGGAGGACACCAAGTCTGAGAAGTTAAATGACTTACCATTAGTAGATGTCAGAGGTGAAATGTGAACCCAGGTGTCCCCTGACTCCACATCCAGCATCTGCCTTCCTTGAGCTTTAAGCACAGGGTCCCTTCACTGAGACCTCTTGTACCCTACCCTTCTGTTCTTCCTACTATACTCATCCTTGCCTATCTCTTCTGCTCGATATTCTTTAAACTTATACTATTGGCAGCAGTGGATAGAGTTGGGATGACCAAAGTTCAAATACAGACTGTGACTGGGCAAGTCTCTTGACCTCTCCTAGCCTCAGTTTCCTCATCTACAAAATGGGGATAGCACCCACCCCATCAAGATTTGTAAAGTGCTTTGCAAGCTTTAAAGTGCTATATAAATGCTAGCTGTTATTATTTATTAATGGAGGGGGTGGGTAGACCATGACAATACTAAAATCCAACATGGCACACTAGAAAGACCACCAGGAGCCAGAAAATGGGAATCTTAGTTCAAGCAATGGCAGTTACTAGTTGCATGACCTTGGATAAGTCCACTTAATTTCTCTGAACCTTAGCTTCCTCATCCATCAAACCAGACTGCTAGACCAGACAACCTCTAAGGCCACTTCCCAGCTCTCAAGTCAGATGAGGCTTCCTTCATCTGCTCATCCCATGCCTGCCTCTGCTTCATCACCCAAACTGCATTGCAGACTTGGATTGTTCACCCTTCCTATCCCCTCCACTCCTCCCAAAAAAGTGCTGATACAAGGGACAACTCCATTAGCTGGTCCTTCTACTAGTCTTCTCAGGTCTTACAACACCCATGTATCTATGTTACCAAGGACACCACTCTCTTTGCTGTTCCTCACACATGACACACCATCCCCCAACTCTACTGGCTGTCCTGATCTCTCCCTCCTCACTTCCCTGGCTTCCCTCAAGTCTTAGCTAAAGTTCTACCTTTAAAAACAAAAAAAGCCTTTCCCATTCTTTCGTTTTCTCGGTGCCTTCCCTCTGAGATTATTTATAACTTATCCTGTACACAGCCTATTTGTATGGAGCTGTTTGCATTTCATCTCTGCCCTTAGAAAGTGCCCCTCCTTGAGAGCAGGGACTGTGTTTTGGCTTTTGTTATTTTCAGCACTTAGCACAATGCACGGCACATATCAGATGTTTAATAAAAGTCAGCTGATTAATTTGGTCTTTTAACTTCCTACCCTTCCTGTATGTAATGAGGGCTGTCAGCAAATATTTATTCAGTGCCTACATGGTACACATTACTATACTAGGCAATGGGTCCACATACTGAAAAATGAACATGGTACCTCTCCCCAAGCTTACACTTTAATCTGTTAAAGATCTAGATTACTATCTAATAATCTGATCTAGTAATAGATCAGAGATCTAGTCATTGTAACTTGTGAGAAGTGGTGGTGATGGTTGTCCTTCATTCTCGAAGAGGACCAAAATAACATCACTATGCTACAGTCAAGTTATAGTGTATCTGACTGTGGCTGATCAGACCAATACGAGCTCAGAATGCTCTACCATAGGTCAGGCACAAATATAGTCCATGTGAACATTTGGGGTGGATTCTCTAAATTTATGCATCTCGTATTTCTTCTGAGCTCCTTCAATTCTGCTCTGCTCATAGGGTATAGCAGCTTCTTTGAGGCAGGCACGCCATACTGAGCAGTCCTGTATCAGTGTCTCCCATGTCAACAAGCAATTTCAAAGTCTCCCCCCCACCCTTTTTTAATATGAGGCGATTGGAGTTAAGTGACTTGCCCAGGGTCACACAGCTAGTAAGTATCAAGTGTCTGGTCTGAGATAGGATTTGGACTTAGGTCCTCCTGACTCCAGGGTCAGTACTCTATCCACTGTGCCACCTAACTGCCCCTAATTCCAAAGTTCTTAAAAGAGACCTTGAGAGTATCTTCATATTGTTTCTTCTAACACATCAATGAACCAAACATGTTTAATGACACCATCAATTTAAAAACAAAACAAGACACTGTCCCTTTATGTCTGAAGAAAGCTTATTCTCATTCACATGATAATCAACAGTAGAAAGCAGCTGTCTGAAGACCAATCTTGAAGGCATTGACCTTAAGGCTGTTGTTGCAAGGTTTGAATCCGCATGTTGTGATTCAGCCCTTGTCGTACAATACCCAGAAGATATTGCTTTACAAAGAACTCCTTTCTTTGACTTTACATATAAACAGGTACCAATTCTGATTTTATTCATCATATTAACATACAATAATGTTCATGACACAAAGTGAGAAATGCACAATTTTTAACCATGTAGCTTGCCTTACACCCAAAGAACATTATATTCATATTCAACATGTACATAACCAGTCCACCTAAGTTTTACCAATGTCTTAAAACCATTTCCAGCATTTCTCATAGAATTCTAGTTGGTTATTTTTTGTTGCTGTCATTTTGATTTTATTTTGTTTTGAATCACCATCCTGTATAGCACTAAACAGGTTCTAAGGCTTTCCCTAAGAATGGATTCTTGAGTGTGAGTACCAACCACGCCACCTAAAGTTGTCCGAGTGGTCCAAAAGGCCATACTTTCAATGCTGAAGAGCTGGTGATTTGACATTAGCTATTAGGCCTGCAGGTTGTGGTGTGACGCCAGATCAGAGCTGCAGGAAGAGAAACCCCAGGGAGAGGTTTGTGATTTGGGTTTCTGCTGATACACTTTTGTTGTTCTTCAAATATAAAGTCTACACACCTTCATGAAAAGTCTGTAAGGTTGAAACTACTGTTTAACATTTAATAAGTCTGACAGTTGAGACTGGGATTTGGACACCTGATTGTCCACGTACATGTTACTCAAATCAATGAATGATTTGTGTCCGTTCATTAACCTGAAAAATGAGCAGTTAAATAGCTGATATGTACTGAGAGAACAGTAATATGACACATTCAGAACATCTGTCTGTGTGAAACCTTGAGAATGGGTCTATGTCAAACATTCAAACTCTGCACATACAGAAAGTGAGTGGCAGTACATTGAGCAGTTTATCCCCTCTCCACCTGTGTTTCATCCTCGCACAACACCTGGATCAACATTTGCGCTTATGAAGCCCTCACACTCATCACGATCAACATCAGTCATCTTTGAATCATGCCGCTCTGTGCTGGATTTTTACAGTCACCACAGGAAATGTAAGTCACATCTTGGTCAAAAAAGACCTGTTCATTTCTCACCATATAAAAAACCTGAGATTTGAGTCAGCAACTAGCTACCATAAAAAGAACAAACAAAACAAAACGAAAAAACCAAGCTGCTGACATGAATTAAGGCTTCAAATGAGGACCACATTGTAGCTGATGAGACTCAAGCTTGAAAAGTTTCAAAGTAAGTATTATCCCTCACACACTCGCCATAGTCACTTTATATTTTCAGCTGCCTGGAGTGATTGGCCATACAGTGATTACAGCTCAGGACCAAGTGCTCTTCCTTCTTTCTTGCCCCAGCTACCAAAAAACCAAGGGTATTCGCTTTTGAGAGTTGCTTGGGCGTGGCCATCGGCTATGGCGCCATTGTTAGAAGACGATAACGTTCCCCAGATGTTCCTACGCTTGACGTTTTGACCCTGCTTACTCTAGCCCCTACGTTACTGGTAAATCTGAGAATCTAACTGAGGAAAGTGTAGATACCACCATAGGAACCATACACCAAAAAAGATTTGCTTCTGGGGAAGGAGGTACATTCTCCTTTTCTTTCAGCTCTTTTTCTCCCCATAAATCCTCCCGTGGCTTTTTTTTCCCTCTTCGGCTTTAAGTTTCCCTGTTTAAAAAAAAACACAACAAAACATGCCTTCCGATTGCACGGTGACTAAACCCGTGTTAGGAGCAGTGGAAAACGTGCTGCTAGGCCGAGAACACCTGAGCTGTTGCTGTTGCCACCAAACACACGTTTGGTTTTAAAGAAAACACAATAGTTAGTGTGATCTCACTTTTTAAAATTCCACTTTGAACTGCTGGATGGAAGTCAACTTGCCTAACCACCCAATTGCTGATTAAATCAGTAGAGTGCCTGATTCCTAGCTATTTAAATGAACTACAAAATGGTTTTCAGTCTTTTCCTTCCCAAGCCAGAGAAATAAAACCTTTTTTTTAAACCCACTTATAACTGGGTTTAAACCCACTTATAACAGGCCCAACTGGAAATTTGTGCATAGACAGCTTAAATTGCCCTTAAAAGTATGACTACCTACCTACCTATTCACAATGCTTACAAAACTGGCTCCCAGAAATGGGTAGCAGTAAAAGCCCTAATTGTATTATCTGAGGTACTTGGTTTTTTGCTCTTTATAAAGCAGCTCTTGGAAATCAACTAATGGCCTGTCCATTAGAATGATCTTTTCTGTCGCTGGTTTTACTGAATGTGCTTTGATGTTCAAATGGGCCTCTGTTGCAGTGAGTTATTTCTTTTGGATTCACAACTATGTTTCTGTCCCTAACAGGGTCTACCCGCCTGACCCAAAAGCTGGCTCAGTTTCAGGGCTAAGGTGCACTGTGAAAGAACGGGGTAAGGACTGACTTTTGAGAATTATTAGTAGCACAACTTGGAAATGGTGCTGTCCTCTATCACCAATAAAGCTTTCTTTTATAAGAACAAGAGGATGTGCAATTTATCGCATACAACTGCTTCATCTGTCCAGGGAAAAAAAAAAACTTAAACATCTGCCCTTCCACTTTTACCTGGGAGAAAAATTAGCTGCTCTCCCACACGCAGACATTAGAGTAAGAGAAAACAGCTTTTACACCAAAGCCCCACTTTCCAAAAATATCTATGTCCATACATATATTTCAGATTTACAGGGAATTTCTTTTTTCATTAAACAGGAAGATAAAAAAAATCTTCAGAAGTCCACATGTCCATGTTTTCTCAGGATACTTCAATAATTTCCATACTACCTGAAAAGCTTGACTGGCTGCCTACTTTTCCTAGTTCTTCTCGTGACCTGTTCTCTGACATTATGCTTTCTCCAAATTCCATCTGGCAGCTTCTACGTTTCAGCTGCTTTTCAAAAGGGCTCTCCTCATGCCAGCTCCGCCTTGAGTCGGCTCGGTCACTCGGTTTCTGCCGCCTGCGTACTGAAAAGGCCTGGTCACTGCAAGTAGGCAGCTGGCTACAACTACAGGCAGAGTACCTGGAACTGCCCCCATAGATGGCGGAAGTAGAGTAGAAGTGAGAGGATTCAGTGGCAAAGTACCAGCTATTGGTCAAGGAAGGGGTGGAAGCCTGGGGAGCTAAGATGTCTGAGTGCCAGCCCTTGAGGCCCAGCCCAGCAGCGGACTTGGCCAGATGCTGCTGGCTTGTAGAAAGGCCAAACAGGGTGCGGTAGTTGTCCTCCACACTCCCACTTCGGTGCAGGGGGGACAGGAGGGGCCTTTGGGCAGCGTTGCCGCCATTGGTTCTGCCAGGGTGCAATCTCTTGGTCTGGCTTTCTGACTGCCAAGCAGACTGGGTCTTCTCAGGGATGGTAGCTTCCTCCTTGTCTGGACTGGTCTCTGGAGTCTGTTCAGACACTTCCTGAACTGGAGAGAACTGGCACAGCTTACTGCTTCCATCTAAAGCACCAGAAGGTTTGTAGTACTCCAGAGCATCCTCTGATGAGGGAAAGCTGTGCAAAGACGCCGCCATACTGGAGGAGTAGGAAATCGATTTGATGTCCAGAGAGAATGAACGCTTGAGTTTGCTGCTGTCTTCCAGTGTGTCTGAAGACATGTGCAGTCCATTGATTCCCTGTACCAGTGGACTATCCTCAAATGATGCTAGCTGCATACCCGGAAGACTCACAGGGTGCACGGCCCTCTGCCCCATGGTATCTGAGGTAGCAGAGTTGGTACTAATAGAGGTTTCACTGTTTTGTGCTCCTTCTGAAGTGGTGGCAACAAATTCATTGGCTTTCTCTAGGTGCAGAAGTTTAAGCTTGCTTTTTGTACCCAATGCTCCAGTCTGGTTCTTAATCTTTTTCTCATAGTCTAGCAGTTGGCCCAGAAAATTGAAGTTCGGAGAAATAGTTGGCCTTTTTTCTTTCACAAATCTGATGGACAGAAGGAAAAATGTTAAAACTACACATGATTTAAACTTTTTCCCCCCCTTTTAAACACAGAAGCAAGAATGGAAATCTGGGGAAAAGCATCAACCAAATCAACATGATACTCTGCAGGTGACAACTTTGGAAGTTAAAATATATTAAACATTCATGGAGGAACCTCAGCATAAAGGACATTCCTCTTCGTGGGAAAATCTCCAACTCATTAATAACCATAATAGGGCATTCGGATGAACACCAGTGGGTGATACTGGACATTGTGGTGCCATCCTACGTAAAGGGAAAAGAGTACCCAATCCCTTTAAGCTGTTGTTCTAGAAGAATTACTTTCAAGGAATGGTAGCATAACACTGTAACTGATGTTAGAGGTGTAGAAATCAGTCTCACCAGCAATCCTCCTGCCATGATTAGGAGCACCAGGAAGGTTCAGAGAGCCAGCACACCACTGACACATTTGGCTATGGCAATGGCTCACTGGTCCTTCTGTTTCTCTGTGTGACTCATCAGGGTGTTTGTAATCATGTCTTCAAGGTATTTCAATGTTCAGGATTTTAATTAAAGAAAAAGAAGGCATTGAATGTCCAAGGCATCAAAAGACACATTTCCCTACTCATCTTGGTACTCAAAGTGACTTGATCAGAAAGCGTGTGAACTACTGCTCAGTTTAAGCCTTTACACAGGGAATTCTCACTAACACCAAGTTTGTCAAAAGGATGAAGCCAGTGACAAGGAAGAAAAGCATTACAGCAGTAAAAGACTTAGAGAAGCTACCAAAACCTTTCCATGGCCTTTTTATGTCAGAGGAGGTGCAGTTTCTTCAAAAGTTAATGTAGACATCACACCTATGAGATTGGCCAATATGACAAAACAGGAAAATGATAAATGTTGGAGAAGATGTGGGAAAATTGGAACACTAATGCATTGTTGGTGGAGTTGTGAAATGATCCAACCATTCTGGAGAACAATTTGGAACCATGCCCACAGGGCTACAAAAATGTGCATACTCTTTGATCCAGCAATAGCACTCCTACAGCTATATCCCAAAGAGATCAAACAAATGGGAAAAGGACCCACACTTACAAAAATATTCATAGCAGCTGTTTTTGTGGTGGCAAAGAATTGGTAATTGAGAGGATGCCCATCAACTCATTGAGAGGATGCCCATCAACTCGGAAATGGCTGAGCAAGTTGCAGTATATGAATGTAATGGAATACTATTGTGCTATAAGAAATGATGAACAGGCTGACTTCAGAAAAACCTGGAAAGACTTATATGGTCTGATGCTGAGTGAAGTGAGCAGAACCAAGAGAACTTGTACATAATAACAGCCACGTTATGCAATGACTAATACTGTTAAACTGAACCCTTCTCAGCATTACAAGGATCTAAGACACTCCAGAGGCCTCGGGATGGAAAATGCTGTCCACATCCAAAGAAAGAACTATGGAAGTCGAATCGCTCTCACTTATTTTTACCTTCAGTTGAGTTTTGTTTCCTCTTTCTGATGGTTCCTCCTATTGGTTTTAATTTTTACTTACAACTTCACTAATGTGAAAATATGTTTAATGGATATGTAAATGTAAAGACTATGTCAGATTGTGCACCGTCTTGGGGAGGGTGGGGGGGGAGGAAGAGGGAGAAAAATTTTCAACTCAAAAGTATATGGAAGTGATTGTTGATAAAATAAATTAATAAAATTTTTTTAAAAAGAGAGAGAAACTGAGGCCCAGAAAAAAAAAAGTTAATGTAGACATAGAAGTAAGGTGATAGCTTGTCTTTTGAATAGGGAAAACTAAAGAAAAACCAATCTGTCGGAAATAAAATAGTTTAAAACAAAAGAAGAGATCCAAGCAATTGGTTGAACACTAACTTAAATATGAGTAGAAAAATCCAAATAATTTAGCAGCTCTAGTGAGATAACAGAATTTATTTTGTCCTCTCATAAATGGACTTCCAAGAGAGGACAGAAACAAACAGTGGGACATTCTCACTGTGCTTTCTGCATTGGTGGCTATTTAGATATGTAATTTCCCACCTTCATGTTTATCAGTGTGACAAGAAAGAACTGAACTGTCATCAGCCTATGCCCACCTGTCTGGTACCTAAGTCTGATAGTTCTTGCTATTTTCATGCTATTCTCCTGAAAAGCCCTTATGTGCCTTATATGCCGAAGCCGAACCACAGTCCTCATAAAAGTTCTCAAGGATCACACCTTCCAACCCGTCCCACCACCCACTTCCTAATCGGAGACTGGTGGTGTCTTCGCTCCCTTGCCCTACATTTTGAGTGAAGTAGCAGATAGCAAACCAAAAAGACAATTCATCAGCAAACAAGCTTTGAACAACTACTGTGTTGCTGGCAAAAACTGGAGTGTGTGCCCCTCAAAGATAACTGCAGGGTTCAGCATTCAGGTCTATCATTCAATCTCTAACCTCAGACACTGCCCAAAAGTTGCTGCCTCATCCCTTGTAGAAACGGAGTCATATCAGATGTTAAGAAAAGGGCATGTCACATACAGTCAGATGCTGATTTTAATGGATGAAAAAAAGCAGAATTATCTTCCCCTGATTTGAGTAAGACATAAAGTGGAGTGACAGTGGATGGTTTAATATGCCTGAAATTTATTAGATTTCATTGGAAATGACTTAATGCTAAATGAATGCTAAGTAACAAAAATGACATCTTTTCCAGTTTTTAAAGGATCACACTTAAATCCACAGCAACTAGTGAAGAGCATTGTTGAAAGGATCACAGCTGACATTCATTGCAGCGGTACTCCTATGACATAAAGTAATCTAAAGGAGGGCCTCCGCCACGTTGGACCCGACAAGAGTTGTACCAGATGTTCAGAAGTTGTGGATGCTCTGTACTGATACAGGAAATATGCACAGCATTGAGATTACAGATCCAATTAAGTACTATTGACATGGAAATATCACTGCAAGTAGTCATCATTCTCCTTTGTATAGTGCTTTTATGTTTCCAATCATCCTCTGAAGTAGTAGATTGTGATGTGAAGGTCACAGTTACTGAGTGGTAGCTTAGGCCTTTGGCTCTAAAACCTTATGATCTTTCTACTTCAGTCTCCTATCTCTCATAGAGTACCACCACAAGAATCCATAAGAGGCAGCTAGTGGTGCCATGGATAGAGCACTGGGTCTGGAATCAGGAAGATCAGCATTTAAATCCAGCCTGAGACACTTTATTAGCTGTGCAACCCTGAACATCAGTTTCTTCAACTGTAAAACAGGGATACTAACAGCACCTATATCCCAGTGTCGTTTTGAGGCTCAAATGAGATATGTGTAAAAAGTGCTTAACACTGTACCTAGCATATAGTAGGCACTTAATAAATGTTTATTTCCTGTGTTCCCCCCAAGATGAAATCACTTCTATAATCTTACCTGTAGGCTTCATCTAAGGACATATCCATCCTCTTCATGATGTAGGCAATAGCAATTGTGGCAGAGCGAGAAATTCCAGCTAAGCAGTGCACCAACACGCATCCGTTAGAGGCTTTTGCTTTCTCTGGACAAGAATTACATTCAAGAAATGTCACTTACATAAAGACTTTTTGCAACAGGCAAGCATCATTTTAACAAGAACACAGAAGACCTCAGAATGAGTTAAGTGATTTGATTTACAATCCAGCTTACCTGATTCCCTATTTCAGGGCTTTTGCCCAATGGTTCTCAATCCTATTTTTTGTCCCTGTGCCATCCTACCCTTCCCACCTCCATAATCTCAAAGGATCATTATGAAATTCTCCCAAAATCCATTTAAATAGTCTGTAATTTTAAGGACACACATATCATGTTTATGTCATGAAATTAAGGTCATCAACTTGAATATGCTAACACAACCCTAAAAAGACTGGTTTGAGAATCACTTCATTAGACTAAGTAGTAAAATGCATGAAAACTTAAAAAGAATCCATCTTTATTAAGTCAGTTTGCCTTATTTTTCCATAAGTAGTTTTGCTGTTTTACGATTTTAATTTAAAAAAAAATACAATAAATGTCACTGGTAACAACTAGTAACTGGTAACTTCTCCTTGGCAGTTTAGTAGAAAGGTAAAAGTAAAGTTGTCTCTTCACAACAGTCTTCTACTTGTACGGCCTCAGGGGCAAGAGGTCTGAACTGTTTTGTTGCTGGCTTAAAACATTTCTCTATGTAAATGATGAATATTAAACCATGCTTTCACGAGGAAGACATGTTTATGGACTTAATAAATGATACAGCTATGCTGTTCAAACTTAAAACAATTTACATTTTGTGGATACTACTAGCAACAACCCCAATTCAGCAACATGAAAAGCAGGTTTCATTTCCAGTGCCGATGTCCAAGGAAAAAAATTGTTTCCCCTTTACTTAGGTTTTAATTTATATTCTACCCAATGGGTGATCATCTTGAATTTTAAAAGTCCCATAGAGCAAATCTGCATGACACCAAATGACATAAAGAGTTGACAGAGAGTCAGTAAATTTGGCTGTACAGACAAGGCTAAGAGACAAAAACAAAAACAAAATCCACTTTGGCTGCTTATCTGTAAGCACCTCGATCACATTCTTTTACAAGTAGCTCATTCATTATTCAACAAAGCATTTATTGAGTCCTTCATGAGTAAAAATATTGTATTCGGTCTGGGTGGTGAGTTTACAACTTGATTGGAGATACCAAGCTTACACATATAAAACAACTGGAAAATGACGATAAAGCAACATAAGGCAAGTGCAAGATAACACATATATTTAGAAACATCCCACCCCCACCATGCCCAGTCCCCACTGCCATGACACCTTCCCACACTCAGCTAATATTCCTCTTTTCCTTCTCAACACCTATCACTCATATTACACTTTTAGATTGTTCCTTCCTTGTTTCTTGTACTTAACTCTCATCTTCCCAACCTGTATGACCTCGGACAAATCACTTTATTTCTCAGGACCTCAGTTCCTTCAACTGTGAAATTTTTTTTTCAGTTGTTTTAGTCACATCTAACACTTCATGACCCCATTTAGGGTTTTCTTGGCAAAGCTACTGGAATGGTTTGCCATTGCTTTCTCCAGCTGCTTTTACAGATGAGGAAACTGAGACAAATAAGGTGAATTGCCCAACTAGCAAGTGTCTGAGGCCAGATTTGAACTCAGAAAGATAAGTCTTCCTGACTTCAGGTCTGACACTCTATCCACTGTGCCACGTAGCTGCCCCATCTGTGAAATAAGGAGTATTGGATCTCTATGGTCCCTTTTTAGCTCTGACATCTATGATTCCATGTCCAGATTATAAATTCCTTGTGGATTAAAGGCCTTTTCTTATACTTCTCTTGTATAGATAAAGAGCCTAATCGAAGGTGCAGGTATCAGTTAAGGTGCGCAGTAAATACCTACTGATTAATTGGTTGATAGGTATTGAAAATTAATCATCAGAATAAAATGAGGTTACTGGAGAAAGGCTTCTTAAAGAGCTTCAAGAAAGGTCTCAGGGGAAGTGGTCAACACAGACTAGCGGGGAAGGAAATGGTCAGTGCAAAGGGCAGACATAGTAACAAGAGGAACAGGCAGAACTTGAGAGGATATATAGGTTTAGCTGGTTCAAAAAGGCTATAGTAGGAAGAAACCAAGGAACAATACATAAAGGTTCAGAACAGTTTGTCAAAAGGCCTTGACTGTTAAGCTAAGAACTTTAGATTCTATATGATAGGGAGCAGGGAGCCACGGGATATGCCTGAGTTCTTTCCTTTCTTGATGAAAACAAAGGAGAAGAAATGAAGGTGGAAGGAAGAGAAAACTCACTGGAAAATTCAGGCCTAAAAAGGAAGCGAAAAAGGATAAAGTAGATGGAAGGGGAGAATAAGGCCAGGTAAAAAAAATTTAAATACTACAGAGACTTGTGACTGAAGTGAAAAGAAGAGGGGGCATGTGCCAGATACCAATTTTCTCAGCAAAATAACTATAAAATTATACTTTAAAAATTATAATTTCATAAAATTATACTTTATGATACTTAATTATGAAATTATAAAATTATAAACTTAATTATAAAGTTATATGTTATAATTATAAAATCATACTTTTCCTATATACATTTACATATAGATAAATGTTAACTATATATTTACGTTAGACACACTTAGACACGCATATATATATTAATGACCTACATTATGGAATCACAGAATTACAGCTGCAAGTTACAGTTAGTTCTGAGCCCATCGAAGCTCAACCCTATCATTTCATAGATGATGAAAGCCACATACAGGGAGGTGAAATAACGTAGCTAGTTAGTGGTTGAAGTAGGCCTGAAATCTGGGTCACTTAATTCCCAATGTTCTTTCCACTACATGTGGTCTACACAGCCTCCCAATGAGGCATAATGAAAAGTAATGATACCCTATATTTGAATACTGCTTTACATCAGGTTTTGAAAGCCCCTTTTATTTTAAGATCATCCTCTAACATGACCCAGATCCTAAGCTTCCCTCAACAAACATTTAAATTTCATAAAGTGAGAAAGAGCAATGGAGCTTATTATTATAAGGCCGTGGATGTATGGCCTCACCCTGGAGTTACATATACTCATTCTATGGACATAACCAACCACCATGAAATGAGAGAGGAGCATGAGCAATTATTTGGTGAATTCAGGCTGGATTTTAAAAAGTAGGCTGGATTTTTTTCAGTTGTGAATTACGTGTAGGAGATAAATGTAAGATTAGTGTCACACAAAACAATGAAAATCTACCAACAGATAGTAGAGACTGTTTCTTTGTTATTTGAATTCCTTAGGGTTCAGGACTGAACAATACATAGTAGGTGCTTAATAAAAAGCCTTTCTGATTGATGGATGAAGTTTTTGGCCCAGAGCTGAAAAAAATTCTTCCCTGTAACAATACAAACTTTTCTTTCTAGAAATATAAAGCGGAAAGGAATAAAAGTTAGAGAGGAAGAAAAAAGTATAGTATTGTTTCTTATTCTACCAGCCACTCAAAAGCTTAAGAGATACTAGGATTTAAATGAAATTAATCTGCCTCAAAGGGAGATTCTAAAACCAGAGTTGAAATTGAAATTAGAGTCAAATTCTCTTGAAGCAATGTGTTATGAAAGGAGATCCTCAACCACGTCAGCTAGTTAGTTGCTTCTTAAAAAGTAACAAAAAAGCGTAACACCATGATGTATGCCGCTTAGGTACATTAGTGGTGTGTTAGGTTTTAGTTTGCTTGTTTTTACTTTTAAATTGTCTGAAAATTATCTAATTGTTGAGGTTTCAAGGATCTGAACTATCCCTAAAGCAGAGGTTCTTAACAGAGAGATCTTTGAACTCATTTTATTTTATTTTAAGAAACGTATTTTGAACTCATTTAAAAAATATTTTGATAAGTGAATTTCAATATAATTGGTTTCTTTTGTAATCCTATACATTTCATCTTACGCATTTAAAAACATTATTCTGAGAGATGTCTGTAGGCTTTACCAGACTGCCAAATGGGTTTATAACATAAAAAAAGGTAAGAACCCCTGCCCTTAAAGAAGATTAAGATTCATGGCAATTTCAGAACTTATAAAATAAAAAAAGCTCGGAGGATAGTCACATTCTCAAAAAAAAAAAAGGTTGGGGGGAGACAGAGAAGAGATGTCTCATTTCCTCAAGGAAAACAGAAAAGAACATTAAGTTTGGTTTGTAGTTTTTTAAATTTTATTGTGCTTTTGGAAATGTTTGACATGATTTCACTTCGATTGTTCATTGTCTGGGGGGGGAGAGGGAGGAATAGAATTTGGAACTCAAAACTTTAAAAGTATTAAAAAAACTTTTAACATGTAATGGGGGAATAATATATACATATATATTTATAAAAAATATAAATTCTCAATCTACAGAAACTAATTCTAACCAATTTGTGATGGCTTAGAGGTTGAAGTACTCCTAGACCATATTCCAGACATGACTCACCAGGCCTATTAACAACTTAGACCCCCTAGGCTAAATACAATTCTAGAACTGTCCTGTCAGCAAGTAAGGTTCACAGACAATAAAGCTCTGAAACCACACTGGTCTAAGTGGGAAAGAATATGGTCCAGGTAAAAAAAAAAATCCCTCAAAAAAAATCTCTAAAAGGGACTGATTCCATTTGATTGAATTGGAGTTTTATTGTTTCTTAAACTGCTTGAAATAGGTAGGGGTTGGAAACCTTGTTACACAGTCATTTCTGTTGTAACACAATTTGTTAGGATCTGACTGTCCTGAAAAAGGAAAAAGCTAAAAATTTTTATTTACAATTTAATTAATTAAATGTATAAATTAAAGAGCTAATTATAACATATATATATATATATATGTATATTCCTTTTATCTACCATCAATTTCATTTTTAAGTTCCCAAAGATAATTTTTAAGAGTATAAAAAAAAAAATTCAATCCCCAAAGCCTTAGTTTCAAAAATACTTGGAAAAGCAGTATCACTGTGTTCTCACTGATGGGAGAGTCAAGCTAGCTATCACATCACAAGGCCAATCCCCTAGGATTTGTGTGGCACACACACATTTAACCTCTGACCATTAATGAGGTAAGCAGCATCATGTGCTTTTTAGGCTTTGTGAATCCCTAGAATAGGCTTGCTTTTCCCTCTTGTTCTCCCTTTGAAAGACAACCACCATTTAAAAACTATGCCAAAGAGTCTGTTGATATTAGCTGAGCTACTTACCAATGAAATCAACCGATTTGTCTAACCATGGCAAAATTTTCTCACAAAAGCTGTCATTCACAGGCACTCGCAGGAAGTGAGACTCAGGGATGAAGTCAGGCTTTGGACAGGTATTGCTGGCATTTAATACATAACCAATCCCATTCTGTTGCATCAGCTCCTACACAAGGATGTCAATTAAAGATATTCACTGACGTGATCAGTTCGAAAGAGGATTGTTTAAAGCAATGATTACAATTATCTTTAGAAAAATTTTAAAATTATAATTATCCATATTCTATAATTGAATCAGGGTTTATTCAATTAGTGAAATCTCAAACCTGGGCAAATGTCACTTAAAAGACCTGAGTACAGGTTGAAACAGTGTTTTTTTAAGATTAAACACCGTTATTGTTACGTCTATTATTTTCACCGAAGACATACACAAATAACGAAAAAAAATCCTTTAAATGTGTCCTCAAAGTATGAAATTATACTCAGACAGGTACACCCATATACCTTGAATCAGATATTCTCTTCTATCTCCCGCTCCCAGTCTGACCATACTGGTGGCAGGCTGGGTGGACGCTTCCAGGGGTGGAAGGAGACAAACAAATATCAAGGTAGGAGCTTCCATCCTCAGTTTCCATGTAACTTTTCAGCTCCCGAGTGATCTTCCCAAGTCCCCTGGCCTGGATTTTTAATAAGATCTTATAGTCATGAGATAGGTTATTTCAGACATATTCTGAGTCCTTCAATCCACCTTCCACAAAACTGCCAAACTGATCCTCTCCAAAGCGTAAATCTGACCATGTCATTTATCTTCCTCAAAACTGCCACTGCTTCCTATTTTCTCTAGGATTAAATACAAAGATCCTTAGGCTGAGTGAAAGATAACTCAGAACTACAGGGGCAAATACATACAGAGAGAAAAATGAAGACAGGTGCCAAACAGCTCCTTCGGGTTAAGCTGAAGGAGGTATCTGCCCACGATAAATTAAACTCTTTAGTCCCATTTTCATGATACTATAAGGACCTACATAATAGGAACTAGCATAGATGTTTGAAAACGGTAAACTGACCAATAAGATATTTAGGGTCTATGAGAGAAAGAAAGTCAGTCAAGCCAACATGTTAAGTGCTTACTAGATGGAGGTATAATGATACACCCTCAAGGAACTACTTGTCACCTAATCAACAGACTCTTTGCATTTAAAACACATTAGAAGGCAACAGAAGGACAACTAGATGGCATAGTGACAGAGTACTGGCCCTGGAGTCAGCAGGACCTCAGTTCAAATTTCGCCTCAGACACTAACTGGCTATGTGACCCTGGGCAAGTCGCTGAACCCTGTTTGCCTCTGTTTCCTCATTTGTAAAAATGATCTGGAGAAGGAAATGGCAAACCATGTAATGGCAAACAATGTAAACTTCAATCAGATTTTTCCCATAGAAACATTATTATAATAGGTTCTTATGTTACTGATAGGTTACCTGATCAGAGTCACAGGTAGCGGTAGTGAAGGTTGGCAACTGTTTAGGGTATATACCATGGAAGGTGGGGTAAGGGGAACAAGGAGAACCTTTTTTTTTTCTTTAAAATACTTTAATATTTTGGTGGTTGTGTGATTTCATCAGTGTAGGTAGTCCATCCACTAGTACAGACCACAAGCTTTCCAAATTTTGAAAATCACAAAATCCCACTGTTGGCAGGAGCCACAAAGGCCAACCTGAAAAGTAATCCCCTCTACATCGTAACAAACAAGTCACTCTGCACATCAGCAGAGCAGAGAGAACCCACTTCTTCCAAGGCAAGGCAGCCCAATGTACCTTACCATAGCTCGAAGTGATAGGAAATTTGTTATTTACAGCAAGTCTAAAAACAGTTTTCCAACTTCTACCCAAAGTTCTTAGTTCTAAATAGGACAAAGTAGAACAAATCTTAAACCCTCTTTCCCATCAAAAACGTGGAAGACAGCCATCATCTCTCACATCCCAAGTCCCTTCCCCCTCCGCCCAAAAATACTCAAATCATGCCTTTTAAGTTTAATCCACATTATTTAACTTTTCCTCCATCACTTTCTTCAGTTTAGACCATTAACGAAACAATTAGACCCAGATTTGTAGCATTCATGATTTCTGATAACACAAATGCTCACACTGAAAATTTAACAATCAGTTCTCAGCAATTTGAGCTGGCTTCAACATACCTCTGCTTTCAACCACTACTCACACAGCACAAAGTCACAGCTCTTAAATAACCCAGGTTGCCCTCCTCTGGTCACTATGTAGTTTATCAATGTCCTTCCAAAAAGGTGGTGCCTAGAGCTGAACCCAGTACTCATGACGTGGTCTAAGATCATGATATACATAGGATACATCACATTTCTCTGGTCTTGGTCACAATGTCTCTTTTAATGTCGTTTAAAACAAAATGAGCTTTTTAACTTCTCTTTCCTGAGAAAACTGAGGCCATCCAATAAGAGCTCCCTCTTCTCCCTCCCTCTTCATCTCAAAATCCCTTGACATAGTCTCCCACTCTCTCTAATAATGAGGTGATCCTTCTCCTTGCCAAGGTCAGCCCCTCTTACATATGCCCTTCATCACTATCCCCTCCTGTTTTCTTCAAAAGACTTTTCCCACCATCATCTCCTCCTCTTTTTAACCTTCAATTTCTTTTCAGCTAGTTTCTTCTCTGCCTTCAATGATGCCCAAGTCTCTTTCTCCATCCTTAAAAAAATTTTTTTTTAATAGACCCAACTCTTCCCCCTCCCCCACCGTGATTTTGTCTCACTTTCCTTTTGCAACCAAATTCCTAGAAAAACCCATCCATGGACATGTTATCTTCACTTTCTCTGTTCTAACCCTTCAACCCTTTGCTCTCACTTCTGACTTCAAAATTCAACTGAAATTGCTCTTTCCAAAGTTACCAATGATCTTTCTTTTATTTAATTTTCTTCAATTAATGAAATACAAATTTCTCCCTCCCCTGACGTTGAAATGAAAGAGAAAAACAAGACCCTGGTAACAAATATGTATAGTCCGTGAAATGAATTCCCTCACTAGCCATGTCCAAATTAATGATTTCTTCAGTGTCAAATCTGATGGTCTTTTTTCAGCCCCATTCTTCTTGAATACTCTTCTACCTTCAACACTGTTGACTAACCCTTCTCCTAGCAATACCAAAAAGCTATGAACCTTAGATCAGCACAATTTCCAACACTTTTAAATATTAATTTTCATAAATAGACCTATTTTTATATCAGAAAATTCTATTCTTCATGGCACAATGAAGATCTCTTTGCAAATTCTTCGTAATTCTTTCATATTTTTACTCCAATAAATCTAAAGGCAAAGCCTCATTTTAATCTGAATCACAAAATTCACAAGTATTCTGAGGCTACTTTAATATACATCTTTGAGAAGGTGGGGAGATAAAACAACTTGATAGCTTTCTGAGAAAATTATCAAGGGACACTTACTTTGATGCCAGTTTTTTCTTACAGAAAATTTTTCTTTAACAAATTTGTGGCAGGAGTCAAATTATTTGTTCCTACTTTTGTTCGTGATTAGCCTATCAAAATAGTTTAGGTGACCTGTCATTAGGCATATACCAATGGCTACAAATGCTGTAAGCAATGAGAGAGGTTCATCAATCAACTAGCATTTATTACTCAACTACTAAATGCAAAGCACAGTACTGAGCAGTAGGGACCCAAAGACAAAAAGTACACATCATTAATGTTGAAGACTGCCTGTACGTATGTAAAGGGTCTTAGTCTTTGGAGCTATACCCAGACCCACATTCTTAATACTGCTGTCATATCCCTTTCCAGGACAATACCTCTTTTCCTTCATCTGAAGGAAATCTTAAATGTATAAAGGTACATCCTGAGTGAAGAAAATCCAATAAACAAAAATCTCATTTACAAAACAGATCAATGAGGAGGTTATTTGTTTCACAAAAGAATATTTTGCTTTACAAAAACATTCACCTTTAAACACAGCTCCTCAGTTATATTTAAATGTTTACTTCCTTGAGTCACTAAGTACTTGGTAGCAGCAGGGCTGAATTGGGGAAGAGGGAGAATGAGAGGCTAAAATTAACTTTCTGAAGATTAAGCAGATAATAAAGCATCTCTGAAATCTCCATGTAATTCAAGAGATGGAGTCTGATTTATAAAACAATTTATTTTATATTTGTTATATAAAATAAGAAATTCACATATATACTACATGTATATAGACACAATTTAAAAAGACTGAAAAATCAATACTTATAATTAAACATGACTTGGTCTCGATATGTGATCTCAGCAGCACAGTAGAGTGGAAAGAACAATGACTTTGGAGAGACCTACCTTAGAATCTGGGCTCTAACTACTAACAACTGACCATCATTTAACCTCTCAGAGCCTCAGTTTCCTCATCTGTAAAATGGGGATAGTGACGTTTACACTACTTACATCATGAGGTTCTTCTAAATAAAGCTTTTCATAAGTTTTAAAGGGCTATCTAAAATGGCAGTTATTATTATCTTTCCATTCGTCCAAGACAGGCTGAGTGGCATAGCAGACCGAGGTCTGACCTTGGAGTTGGAATTTCTAAGGTCAAATCTGTGTAACTATGTCGCCAAGTCACTTATCTCCTCAGTGTCCTAGGGAGTTTTCTAAGACTATAAGTCACAGAGAAGGTGCTGCCCTGCACTGGTAGAGGGAGTTTCCATACCATGACTTCCTTGTACTGATAAAACCACAGGTCTGACAAGTCCCTTCCCCCTAAAAGTCTGTCCATCTACTCTTCTGGCTGTATCTGTCTGAATTAGTTCATCTACCTATGCAGATGTCTGTATGCATATATTTGTATGCATATATATAGGTAGGTGTGTGTGTATGTATGTATGTTAGTGGTTTATTTCTGGAGCCAGGTAGAACCAGGAAAGAAATAGTGTGATTTACTTTATGTGACTATGGAAAGATAGATGGCGGTGCAATGGAAAGACTGTGGCATCTGGAGTCAGGAAGACCTGAGTTCAAATGCAGCTTCAGACACGTATTAGCTGTATGACCTTGGGCAAGTCACTTAACTTCTGCCTGCCTTAGTTTTCCTCATATATAAAATGTAGATAATAACAGCAGTGTCTACCTCCCAAGGTCATAATGAGGATAAAATGAGATAATATTTTTTAAAATAAAGTACTACATAAATGCATCTTCTCCCTCTTCTTTTCCCTTCTTCTTCCTCTTTATTTATTATTTTTTGGTCCTGAGCTAGTTAGGATTTCATCCATATAGGAAATTCCCACTGCAGAAACTCCTCCCACAGATCCTTATCAACAATGTGTCTGTAAATTGTAGTCTTAAGAAAAACTCACTGGTGCACTGAACGATTAGCGAATTTGCCTGTGGTCAAAACGCTAGTATATGTCAGCAGCAAGAGGTCAACTTGAGTCTTCCTGACTTCAGGAGTCTTCCTGACTCCATTCACTACGCCACAATGCTTTCTTTAGGTTCTACTCAAGAGACGGATATTGGGGCAGCTAGGTGGTACAGTGGTTAGAGCACCAGCCCTGGATTCAGGAGGACCCGAGTTCAAATCTGGCCTCAGACACATAACACTTACTAGCTATGTGACCCTGGGCAAGTCACTTAACCCCACTGCCTAGCTAAAACAAACAAACAAACAAACAAACAAACAGATGGATATTAACAAGTGCCTACTAAAAGGGGACATTTAACTCACAAATATATCTAATGATTATTGAGCATCTGATATTTGCATCAGTATCTCCTTACGCACACAAGTATGTGCTTAAGGACCAAAACAGCAGCCATTATCTTAGGGTAATCAGCAGGGCTGGAAATGTAAAGAAGGAAACATACAGATGACTGGGTCAAGGGAAGACACAGGGGAAGGCCAAGAGGGTTTGTAGGCAAGGAGTCAGTAGTGAACAGAGAGAGGCTGAAGATAAGAGAGGTAGGGGTCAATAGGGCAAGCTTTAAGGTGGAAGGGGCTAGGATCAAAGGCAGAGTCAAGTTTCTTCACCTTAGCAAAGAGAAGGGCGACGTCACAGCATGAGACGGGAACAAAAAAGGAGAGAGTGTGTAGTTTGATATATGAGGAGAGTGGATAATAGATGGCCTCACACATCTCAGGAAAATGAAGAGGTGAGGTCATCTGCTAATAGGGAAGGGGATGGAAGGTGAATTTGAGGACTGGAGTAAAACCAACAAGGTTCAGAACTGACGACAGGGTATCCCAGCGGGCAGAAGTAGGAGCAGTGAGTAGTTGCAAAGGAACAAATTTAGGCTTGATGTTAAGGAAAAATGGTCCAATGATGAGAGCTATCGAGGAGTGGAAGGGATTGCCTAAGTTCATTCCTCCGTAATGGAGATCATTGAGGAAAGGCTGAACAGTCACTTTTCAGGTAGAACATGGAGGGGAAGGAATCTTAGTGAGGGACAAGTCAGCTTCTGTGCTTTCTTCCAATTCCGACTCTGTGAGTCAATCACTGATGACTGTGAGGAGTAATATATAGCAGTGAGGGCCAAGTTCAAGGGTGTAGTGGCCCCCAGACCACACAGGCAGCATTCATTAAGAATAGTACCTTTTTAATGCTTTGTGATAAATATCTGTCGTATTTTATTTCTCTGAATCAGAGGAAGTCTTCCAAGCAAACTAACAGGATAAAAAAGATATCACTCAAGCCTTTTCTGAATTTTGGTAGGGGAAAAATTGGCCTCTTTATACCGAGACTCAAAGGCTTCAGCATGTATGCTACCGGCATTATAGCTAGAGACGACCAAATGAGGCAGTAGATGAGGAGCCCTAGCATGGCACCAGCTCCCCCCAGGGTCTCTCTCCCTTGCCTAGCCCACCGGTAGCCATTTCCGATAGGCTGGGATGGTGTCCTGCCAATTGTGACTACTACTCAACTCTCAGGTCCCAGGGGGTAACCCTGGGTGGATGTAATGTACTCCTCATCACTGTAGATCCTTTACCCCCACTAGCGTGCTTCCCATTTACACAAAATCAGTTATAATGCCACCACTGGCTCTTAAACATAAAATATTTACCAAATGAGAAGGCAAAAACAAAGCCTATAGAGTTTACCCACAAACCTCAGTCATATTATACATACATACATACATACATACATACATACATATATACATACACACTCACACACCCCTAAGAGACAGACATATGTATCAGGACAATCATGCCCCTAGAGCAAAGCTGCTGTGGACTATAGGCTTTGATATCCCTGATCTTTTTAGAAAAGTCTGCATCACACACTAACCACTGGGCAAAACTGCTATAGCTGCTCCGGTTCCAGTACTCACAGCCCTCCTACTACTCCTCTGCTTTTCAACTACTCTCAGGTGGCTGAAGCAGCGTCAAGTTCTTTCTAGCACAAAGACTCCCTTAGCAGGGCATTGAGAAAGTGTCACACTCTTTAAGCAAAACTCTAACAGCCTAACTTCCACTAAAACAGCTAAACGCCTGGCTTTCCTTGTCCTCCTTCCTCTCTTAAAGGGCAGTAAAGGGGGTATAATTTACTTTCAGGAAAAAAAAATAGACTGAAAAAACATGACTGAATTTCAGAGGATGGAATCATCCTATATCATCATATCATGACATCAAAAGATTCAACATCCCAAAAAGATCACGAAAAATAACTGTGACTGTGTGCATTTTGAAACTCCATGAAATTTCAGTCAATAATGATAATCACTAACATTTCTAAAGAGCTTACTGTAGCCAGGCACTGTGCTAATTGCTTTACAATTACTATCTCACTTGATCCCCACAGCAACCCTGGGAGGTTGGTGCTATTATAATCCTCATTTTACAGATGAGGAAACTGAGGCAGGTAGTGGGTAAGTGACTTGCCCAAAGTCACACGACTGGTAAGTGTCTGAGGCTGCATTTGAACCCAGGTCTCTGACTCCAGGCCCTGTGCACTATGGCGCCACCTAGCCGCCTATAAAAGTAACAAGTCAATGACCAAAAGTTGTCTCTAACAGCTACCAAAGGATGCTCGCTCTCACTCTCTTGTGGGCTCTCTCTCTCTCTGTCTCTCTTTTTTGGTGAGGCAATCAGGGTTAAGTGACTTGACCAAGGTCACACAGCTAGTACGTGTCAAGTGTTTGGCCTGAGGCCAAATTTGAACTCAGATCCTCCTGACTTCAGGGCCAGTGCTCTATCCACTGCACCACCTAGCTGCCCCATTTTTCTTTTTTTTTCCCCCCCAAAGGATGCTCTCAAAGTACCCACCTTGTTGAGTACATCTCGCTGGCAGCCAAGATAAAGATTTGGAAGAATTCGGGTTGGCCCAGTGTTGGCGACAGGCAGGCAGGGCTGGGAAATGCAGGTAGGGACTAAAGAAGACTTTCCTTCACAGAGGTCAGGGAAGCAACGGGAGAATTCGTCAAACCCACCTGGGAACAAACATTTGTTTCGTCATACAAGGGTTGTGCCACACATAAAGATGAAATCTGCCTTCTGGGGACCATTACACTAAAACTGTTTTGAAAAGGGAAAAAAAATCACACAGAAGCAAGTTAATTTACTGAATTTATTTCCTTTCCTAGTGCTGCTAAATTTAACCTGTGAACTGGCACTGAGTCTAACATGTTTATGATAAGTATATGAAGAAACACCAAATCATACTATTTTTTACTCTGAACTTAAACTCCCACAAAAAAGCATTACTATATGCACAGAATATAAAAGAGGATTCTATATGAAGCTGACTCTTCATTTCATACTATCGGATTTTTTAAAGTATGTAATAAATTCTACCTATACTTCCTAAATTTTTTTTAAATTAAATTTTATTTTTTCTTCAATTACGTGTTTAAACAATTTTTAAACTATCCAGTAGCCTGTCTCTGCACTCTGTGCATGTCACCTCTCTGTGACGAGGGGGGACAACACGCTTCATCATAGGTCTTCTGAAGACATGGCTGATTACTACTTTAATCAGAGTTCTTAAGTTTTACGTTGCTTTTCTTTACAATGTTGTTCTCTGTATAATTATCCTCCTGGTTCTGCTCTCTTCACCTTCCCCAAGATTCTCTAAAATCCTCTTGCATCATTTTTCACAGTTCAATAATATTCTATTATATTCATATACCACAATTTGTTCAGCCATTTCCCAACTGTCCAAGAGGCTACCCAAGGCAACATCTTAGACTTTAGTTCTTCCTCTTTACCCCTTCAGAATTAAGAAGTTTATTTCCTTTGTGACTGTTCACTCCCCTATATTATCCATCTTTTAAATACCCAGAAAAAAATACTTACAGTATTTTGTTTCTTTAATATAGTAGCTCTGTATTCTTCCTATTGTTAATTTTTCTGGGTAATTTGCATTTATGATTGCTCAAAATACAGTATCCAGGCTTTTTTTTTTTGGTTAAATAATGGTTTTCAGGGAGTCCAAGCATTCTTACATGATCTCTCCTTGATTCATTTTCCAGGTCAATTTTTAAAAAAAATCAGATTGCTTACTTTTTAAATTTTGTTCTACTATTTCTTGTTTGTCTCATGGAGTCAATGATTTCATTTTGGTTCAGGGAGTTCATTTCTTGGGTAAGGTTTACCACTATTGTTCTAAGGTACTTATTTTCCTTCCAATTCCTTCCTCAAAAGCTTCTATTTCATTTTTTAAAATGTTCGGCTACATTTATTCTAGGTATTCATGTAGTCCTTGTAGGAAATATAGGGTGTTGGATGAATTTGAGTCTATAGCTGTTACTGAATTAGATTTTTAAATAAGTTTTAATACCAGTTTGGTGTTCTCTTCAATTGGGGCTTAGATTCTGAATTGGGGCTTTGTGCCCAGATAATTCTCCACACCCAGCAGCACTTTCTGATGGGGTGGTTGGCCCTGCTTGGTCTCCCTGGGGGTCTCTTAAGTTCCTGTGCTGATTTCCTCCTCCTGGGAGTTAGGTCTCACCTTCATGGCTCTCTCTGGCATTTCATGACAGAGCATTCAGGACTTTAGGGACCACAAAGCCCTAGGGTCTAGGCTGTCCAGATCTGAGTACTATGTTATTCAGCTGTTCTTCACTGTGTAGGCTGGTCCTACTACTAGGGGCTGGTGGGGAAAAGGGCTAGGGGAAGGGGCAAAGAAATAGGTCCTCTCCTATGACCTTTGGGCTTTTCTGACTGACTTTTTGTGTAGGGCTAAGGCGGAAAATGGCACTTGCTGAAGTTTCTCATTGGACCATTGGACCACTTGTTGGTTATCTGACCTGGTGAGAACTTTAAGGTTTTACTAGAGTAGGTACAGGGGAACTAGCCAACCTGCCACCAGTTCAGGGGACCATCTTGGCAGGAAGTCCTTCTAAAACACTCCCGACTTACATTCATTGCTTCAACCCCTCCTTCCTTCTAATCAGCATCTGTTTATGGGATCAAGAGGAAACCCAAAGTAGAGTTAAAAATCGATATCAGTCACATACACACAAAAATGTAGCTATAATCTGAATTTACTGCTGATTCTATTGCTTCTTCAGAAAAATATGAATAAAATTTAGCTCTAGAATGAAAAAAAATTTCCCACTACAACATTAAATTTCATATTTCAAAGATGCAGGCAGATATACTTGGGTCCTACTTCCATAACCTTGTTTTCACCCCAAAACTAGAAAGAGTATGTGGAGGGGAAGGGGGCTGGAGAGAGAAGAAAACAGAAAGTTAAGTATTTGGGATTCCCCTGGCAGTCAGTCAAGATTACCATAATCACCATTGATACCCTGGCTCTTATGTTCACATTGCAAGGTACTTCAGAAGAGTGTTGACAGATCCTAATTACTTAAAGTACACTGTAGCCTTGTGGGAAGGTTTGTGGACTAGAAATCAGGAAAACAGAATTCTTTCTAATTCTGTCTCTGAAGTGATCTGCTCTGTGACCTTAGGAAGTATTCTGAGGCTTGTTTTTCTCATCTACTAAGAAGGGCTAGCAATACCTGTCCATTCAATACTATAACTGACTGGTATGAAAATAAACTATATTTCAGAAGCATTAAAGGGAGGGGAGGGATGGGGAGAAAATTTAGAACTCAAAATCTTATGGAAGTGAATGCTGAAAACTAAAAATAAATAAATAAATTTTTGAAAATGAAAAAAATAAAATAAAATAAAGGAAGCCTAAAAAAATTTTAAAAAATAAAGGTTAAAAAAAAGAAGCATTCTCAACCATATCAGATGATAAACATAGGCAAGGTCTTCACTGAGTTTCTGGATATAGCATTATGTTCTGAAAAGTCTGAACCATAAATACGTGGATTATATGGTAACTGACTAGAAAAGCAATGCCTTTTCGCTGTGTTTTTTAAAGCATTCCTCAGCAGTGGCTCTAAGGTGCTCATAAAAGTCTGGATCTTCTCTTCTCCAAGAGTTGCAGTCTGCTAGAGTCTTTGTGATTAAGAGCCCTATACCTTTATATGGTCGACATCCTAAATAACACAGCATTCAATTCATATTCCTGAAAAACAGTGACAAGTAATAGTGTAAAAAGTGAGACAGCACTAGCTGCATTATTAATGTATGTGTGTAAATCTACACCATGTACGGGCAGATACCGTACAACCAAGAGTCCAGCAGCGGGTTCTGAACTTTTAGCCTATGCTCTTCTGGAAACGAGGCATACAGAAATGTTTTTTCTTCCCTCGGAAGGGCAATATTATATGATAGACAGAGCTCTAAATTTGTTGTCAGAAACCTTACTTCATAAACATCAGCTGGGCAAGCCACTTCACCAATTAAAACCTCAGTTTCCCCATCTTTTAAACAGGAATATCATTTGTACTATGACCTCAGCGGGTTGTTATGAAAGTGCTTGGCAGACCTTAAAGTACTATATAAATGTGAGTTTTTATCATGTATAAAATTACAGACTGGACTATTCTGCTGACAAACTGTCTCACCTGTGAGATTCTCAGACTTTCTCTGAAGTACCAAAGCACTTAAATACTCAACTAGGACTAGACTTATATAGCTCATCAGTTTGTAAAGGGTATTAATATTAGTACTGCCTCAAGACTCTCCCCAATCCATTTCACCCTATGCACATTTGCCAAATGTGATTTTCTTCATGTGAGGTCTGACCATGTCACTCCCTTACTCAATAAACTCCAAAGACTCTCTATTACCTTAGGTTCAAATATAAATTCCTCTGTTTAGGGTTTGTTTCTGATTTTTTTTTGGCAAGGCAATTGGGGTTAATTAAGTAACTTGCCCAGGGTCACATAGGGGGATTTGAACTCAAGTCCTCTCGACTCCAGGGCTGGTGCTCTATCCACTGTGCCACCTAGCTATCCCCTCTGTTTAGGTTTTAAAGCCTGTCACAAGCTGGCCTTGACCTCCTTTTCCATCCTCCATGTATTATTACTCCCCTTTGAACATGTTCTAGGCCAGCCAAAATGGCCTTTCTGCTTGCTGGGTTGCTCACATATGACATGACATTCCATTGGCTATATCCGTACCTCTGCCCTGGCTGTCCCTCCCGTGCCTGGGACACTCTCCCTCCTCCACTCCTGGCTCAATTTAAGTCCCAACTAATACAGGAAGCCTTTGCCAACCAACCCTTCTTAATTCTGGTACCTTCTCTCTGTTATTTCCTATTTATCCTTTTTTAAAATATATAAATATAGATGTTAATATACATAGACATATACACATATATATTAGAGAGACAGAGAGAGAAAAAGCATGCTTGCTTTGCATATATTTGCCTGCATGTGTCTCCCCCATTAGACTGTAAGCTCCTTGAGGGCAGGGACTGTCTTGTGCCTCTTTTTGTATTCCTGGCACTTAGTACAGTTCCTGGGGCATAACAGGCTGATGTTAATCAATGTTTATTGACTGACTGTTGCTCACATGTGACATTCCATCTGCTGTATAGTAGCCTTTGTACTGGTCATCCCCTCATACCTGGAATATATTCCTACCTTGTCTCTAACTCTTGGAATTTCTCACTTCCTTTAAAACTCTGCTCAAATGACACATTTTACAAAGCGTTTCCTGATTCCCCCCCCCGCTGTTAGTGCCCTCCCTCTCCCAAATTATGTTTTATTTATTTTGTATATGCTTACTTATTGCATGTTATTTCCCAGTGGGGCAGCTAGTGGTACATTGGATAGGGCAACAGGCCTGGAGTCAGGAAGACTCACCTTCCTGAGTTCAAATCCAGCCTCAGATACTTACTAGCTGTATGACTCTGGACAACTCACTCAACTCTGTTTGCCTCAGTTCCTCATCTTTAAAATAAGCTGGAACAGGAAATGGCAAAATACTCCACTATCTCTGCCAAGAAAACCCCAAATGAGGTCACAGAGAGTTGGGCACAATGGAAAAATGACTGAACAACCACAAATTTACCCCACAGAATGTAAGTTCTTTTGAGGACGGGGAGCAAGCCAGTTTCATTTTG